CGTGCTACTTATGACTGGTTTTGTGCTCCAGGGTCATATATATATATATATATATATATATACCTTGCTACGTGTACTGCGTTAGGCTAACCGAGACTTGTCATTTGCACTTATATATTGTTGCTCTTTTGTTAGTTTTGACTGCTTTTATTGTCCTCATTTGTAAGTCGCTTTGGATAAAAGCGTCTGCTAAATGACTAAATGTAAATGTAATGTAAATATATATATTCTATTGAATTACAACAAATCAAAACAAATTTTATTTAATTAATATATATCTGAATATAGACAAAAATGTACAGTACTTTGCTCAATTATATGACAATCTCAACAAAAAGCAGAGCTTGAATATCTGTTAGCTAAAAACCATGACAATTATAATTGAAATCAGTTATAGGAATTATTTAATTCAATGTTACATTTTATAAGCGAAGACTTAGTATACTGAATAGCATTTCATAAACAGCATAAATATTTTTATGACAACATGAACCCTGTTTTGATATCATTTATTTATTTACTTACTTTTTAATTTTTTTTACTATAACCAAACTCTAACATTTTCAAATGCTACTCAACAGGCACCATTTTTTATGCGTTTTTACAGCATTGCACATTATAACCAATAACACACGATGCTGTTGAACTTATGAATGCAATGGGCCAATCAGAGATATTCAGATCAGTCATCGCTGAAACATCAGTGTTTTGTTCAGTGTGCGCGCTCGCTGACTGAATTCCAGACTCTCGCGAATTCTCTCATCATAAAAAAAGATGTTCAGATGTACGTACAATGTAAGTAAGAAATTAATTTCAGTGTAGACAGCTTAATTGATTATAACCATATAGTTTTGTTTTTTGAGAGTGCTTAAACCCATGATAGATCGAAGTTCGCTCGCTTTCTGTACATAATTTATTCATTGTTTGAATAACTGTAGAAATGAAAAGGTTACAATTAGCAACATATTTTTATTAAATTGTGATTATGTTAAATACAAATTCAGTCATATTAAAATATGTTATTAGCCTCTGTAACTAAGTACTTGCCTAAAAAGACGGGTTTATAGATTACACATTGGCTACACCCTAAAAAATGCTGGGTTGTTTCAACCCTACTTTGGGTCAAATATGGACTAACCCAAGTTTTGTATTAAAAATTTAATTAAAAAAATTAACCCAATAGTTGGGTTAGTCCATATTTGACCCATAGTTGGGTTGAAACAACACTGCATTTTTTAGAGTGTACTTTTACGCTTAACCTGGAGTTGGTTCACCCTCCGCATATGAGCAAGCCAATAACAATAACGGAAGCAGAGCTCATACAGACTTGAAATGCAGCTTTAAATGTGTTAAGGATTGTCAGCCAGCTTTAAGCTTCTCTCCTAATGTTTAAAATCAGACCAGAGTCTATGAAAATACTGGCTAGTGAACATGACACTCATGATAGATCTGAATCCAGAAAAAATAGAGACTTGAATAGAACACATGAATAAAATCTATGCGTAAGATTGCTTTAATAGTTTATAAAACACACCTGAGAAAGCTAGTTATCTTTTCTGTGAAGTATTACTTCACATTCACATACTTTTAACACTTTAAGCATCTCTACAAGCTAATGACAAATACAACTTCTAGAATTTTTAATTTAAAAACACTATAAATCAAAGTATTATCATGCTTCTGCATGGATTACACTGCAATTACCTTAGTGCGAACAGCTCTGAATATAATCTAAATATAATAAAGGAAGGGAGTAAAGAGGTGAACTTACATACAGCCCAGGTACTGATGGGAAGTGTCCAACCCGAAAACTCTGAATGAGAAACTAAAAACCTGAAGCAGTTCACAGAAACTTATCAAGCCACTCCTCAACACCACAATTTCCATTCTAGCATGTACGAAACATGCAGACCCACACATGCATGACAGATTTATAATTTGTTTAGCTTCGCCAATAAAAAGCTTGAATATAATGTGTTCACATTCCACTTTTGGATTATTAAAGTAGTCCATACACTTATGTGCTAAATTTCCAAATCATCTGACCTCTTTAAAACTTTTAAACACAGACTGACTTCAAGTCGCTATTCACTGAAAATGTGTCACGTAGCGAAAATAATTCTCAAATGATGGATCAATACCAACTGTTCATGATTCAACTTCATATTCCGACCACGGAAGTACCGCACTTTGTATTTTGTGGATGTTTGCAGATCACCTTTCTGAATGTGCTTGTTAGCATGCAGCAGAGCTAATCTGACTGTATTCACAGAGACTATGTCGTTATTTATTATTATTATTAATAATAATGTTTAATTTATATAGCGCATTTCCCAAGCTCAAGGACGCTCTACAAGGTACACCAAAGCAGCAAATATTGATTACAAAGAAACAATTTCATTGGACATTTGCCCAATTCAGTTACAAATAATGCAGTTGCATATAACACAGACTATGTAGTAAAGACAGAAATAGAAAACAAAACAGACAAATACACAATGTAAATTAGTGATAGTGTTGATTAAACAAATAAGTTTTAAGCTTTGATTTGAATTCACTGAAAGAGGTGACTGTTCTGAGTGCCAGGGGAAGTGAATTCCAAAGTTTGGGTGCAGTAACAGAGAAGGACCTGCCGCCCATTGAAGATAGGCGGAACCTAGGTACACAAAGAAGTTCAGAATTAGAAGACCGGAGTGCGCGAGAAGGTATATACGAAGAAAGTAGGTCAGAAAGATAGGAGGGAGCAAGACCATTGAGTGCCTTAAAGGTGAGCAGAAGAATTTTGTATTGCACACGAATAGATACAGGCAACCAGTGAAGATTAAATAGAATAGGGGTGATGTGAGCAGATTTTTTTGTGGAAGTTAAAAATCTGGCAGCAGAATTTTGAATGTACTGCAGACGAACGATGGAGTGAGCTGGTAAGCCAGAGAAAAGAGCATTACAATAGTCAAGGCGAGTGGTAATAAATGCATGCACTAATGATTCCGCATCTTTTCTACTGAGGAAAGGAGGAAGTTGCGCAATTCGACGTAGTTGAAAAAAAAGCAGCTTTGGAGAGTTTGCTAATGTGGTCATCCAAGGTCTGTGATGGGTCTAGAATGATACCCAAGTTTCTAACAGTAGCCGATGGAAAAATAGAAATAGCGTCAAGGTCAAAGCTAGAAACATCAATTTTATTTTTTATTAGAGATGGGGGACCAATTATTAAAATTTCTGTTTTACTCAAGTTCAGACTAAGAAAATTTGAATGTAGCCAATCCTTTAACTCACTGACACATGAAGATAAGGATGCCATCGAATGGGTAGAATCTGGTTGACAAGCAGTATATATCTGGATGTCATCGGCATAACAGTGGTAGTTAAAACCATTACGACTAATTATTTGGCCAAGAGGCTGAATGTAGAGGATGAATAATAATGGTCCGAGAACTGAGCCCTGGGGAACACCCTGTTTGAGCAAGACAGTGGGAGATTTGGAATTGTGCAGTGAGATGAAGTATTGCCTATCTGTGAGATATGAGGAGAACCAGGATAATGCAGAACCTCAGATGCCAACCTCTGCAAGGCGAGATAGTAATATCTTATGACAAACAGTATCAAAAGCTGAGCTGAGGTCAAGTAATAAAAGGATTGATAAACTGCCTGAGTCTCCAGAAAGTAATAGATCATTGACAACCTTTACTAGAGCAGTTTCCGTACTGTGCCGTGAGCGAAAACCAGACTGAAAAATATCAAAGAGATTGTTGCGAGCTAGAAATGACTGCAGCTGAGAGGCAACAGTCTTTTCCATGATTTTTGATACAAATGGCAGGTTCGAGATTGGACGGTAGTTGGATAGATTTACAGGATCCAGATTCAGTTTTTTGAGAATAGGAGTAACAGCAGCAGTCTTGAGTGAGATAGGAACAGTGGAAGAAATGAAAGACATGTTGATGATTAAGAAGCAATAAATGTGCATTTGTGAATTATACAGATGGTAAGCATTTTCGAGTAAAAAAAAAACATAGCTCTGTGGCCTGTTTTAATAAGAGGATTAACCAACTCGGAGTTAAAACTTGAAATCTGAGTTTACTTACCCTGGGATGGGAAACTTGAGTTAGTTCAGTCAATTCTGAGTATGTTGACTCGGAGTTAAGTGCGTGCACCATGACTTTAAAAAGTCATGATCAATGGAGCTTCGAAATTACAATTCACCAAGGCAACAGCATACTTCCAAGTCAATATGTAAGTTCCCGCCTCAATAAAATGCAAGTGCATACAGCACGCCTGCATTAAAATGCTATCTTTATGAGCAGTATGAGTAATCTCACACTAGGAGTTCTGCGAGGAATCGGACGTGTTTTTAGACATAGATGTCCAGATATCGGATATGTGTCCGATTAAAATCTACATTTGGAAGTGGCCCAGATTGGATGCAAAGAAATCGGATCTCGTGCAGATTTTTTGTGTTTACACGTGTGCAACAAATTCTGATCTGTGTCAGATGTGCGCCAAAAAATCTGATTTTTGTGCCAGTGTAAATGCAGCTTAATTCTTAATCACTGTTATATTATCAGAGGTGAAAACTGGCAGGACGGTACGTTTTTAAACTAATATTAAATTTTATGGTATCCCACAGGCCAAAAAAAGGATGCATGGAGAATAAATGAAGTATGAAAACATAATTCAATCAGGTAAAGCTTTAAGCATAAAAGGTTCATGGGTGTAGGCTACATGATTTAAACATTGGACATATTAAATACATATCATTCAGTGTCTATTTCATTGTGCAGCAGCTTTACCCAAATAGTCTAAAGCTCTTTTCACATAGTTAAATGTTCTCTAATCCAAACTGTTATATTTCTTATTTAGAGTAATGACATTAACATTTGACTATAACTCAGCCAACAGCAAAACAATGAAGAGCAGATGAAGAGAAGATGGCCACAGTACCAAGTATTGGAAGAATATTATAATCCAACATGAAAATGAATAACTGTTGCTTTTGTATTTGTAGGTAATAAAGATGACCAAATAAATTGTAAATAATTTGTGTTTATTTAACAACTGTGATGGTAGTTACGGCATATCTTGTACTCAAGGGCGCCGCTAGCAATTTTGGGCCCTTTGAAAGAATATGAGATTGGGCCCCCTACCGCACCAAACATACACTATATTGCCCAAAGTATTGGGAAAACTCAATAAAACTCATCACCAAACACCAATGACTTGTACATATGCGTACAATAATTTTAGACTCTTCCAAAACTGTGGAAACAAAGATGGAAATACAATTTTTAAATACATGAATGGCTTTCTGCAGACCAGTCAAGTTCTTCCACACTGACTGAATCCATCTTTTTTTTTTTTTTACCTTGCATTACACACAGAGTCATTGTTGTTTTAGAATAGAAAATGATCCTATTCAAACTATTGGTATAAAATTAGAAGCACACAATTCCCTAGAATAGCATTATATGCTTTTTTTTACTGAAAATGAGAAATTACTAAAGTAGTCAAACCTGTTCATTAGAAGGGTGTGTCCCAATACTTTTGGCAAGAAAGTGTATGTGCCCGTACATGCATCTTAAAGGGATAGTTCACCCAAAAATGAATATTTGATGTCTATCTGCTTACCCCCAGGGCATCCAAGATGTAGGTGACTTTGTTTCTTCAGTAGAACGCAAACGGAGATTTTTAACTCAAACCGTTGCAGTCTGTCAGTCTTATAATGGAAGTGAATGGGAATCACTGCTTTGAGAGTAAAAAAAACATACACAAACAAAACCAAATTAAACCCTGCGGCTCGTGACAATACATTGAGGTCTTAAGACACGAAACGATCGGTCTGTGCAAGAAACTGAACAGTATTTATATCACTTTTTACCTCTGATCCACCGCAATGTTCACAACATCCAATGAGTGATGTATACATGCGACAGATCGCTTTCGCTCATGCGTCTACTATGCCAGAGCACGTACACGCGTCACGCGCTGGATGTTGTGAACGCGTCATCGTCGTCACGAGCTGCAGGGTTTAATTTGGTTTTGTCTGTGTTTGTTTTTTTTGACTCTCAAAGCCGTGGAGCCCATTGACTGCCATTATATGACTGACAGACTGCAACGGTT